GTCCTTGAGGCTCACTTCCATTTGTGTAGTCAGAATCCTTCAGTTTGCACAGTGATGTAAATTTATCTATAAATGGGTGAAACTAACATTTTTTGCAGTCTACACTCAAAGCCTAAAATAAGTCGGACCCGGTGTTGCGCTCCTGTAATGTGCTGAGGCGCTTCAAACTGTGCTTTGCTTTAATCATCTTGCCAGAGCCAAAATCCAGGTGTGCACAGCCTGCAGAGACTTGACCCTATCTTTACTCGTCTCACACAAAGACTTCTATAACAAACAGGTGTTACCGTAACGTCTCGATGAACCCATCTGTAACTGTGACCTCAAACTTTTCATGCCTTTGACCCCATTTTTCTACATTTTACAGATAAAGCTGAAATAACTGTGTACTAATTCCCCGGTCATTTATTCCCTAGAAATTATACTTCTATCTACATGCAGTTTCATAGTAGAAAGCAAAAAACACCATCCTTTACTACGATAAGTAAACCTGCCCGCCTCCACCACACAGCTGAGGCCACCGTAAACCTCACCTGTACATGTCCAGCATAAACATCACTGGCTCATATTTCCACCATCTTTAGAGCTTCAGACTTTTCTGGGATTTGTATTCAGGCTCCACCATCTCTTTTATAACAAACTGTGCAGAAAGTAATCAGCTAAGAAAAAATAAAGTCTTCTGTTTTTAAGCTTCTTCTTGGACGACGCATTGCACCAACTGGACTGTAAAAGCTGAAGTAACCTTCCTCAGGTCATCAATCTCAGGCTTCTGAACGTACCCCAGTCTTTCTTGACAAACTGCACTGCCGCACTTTTATTCCACCCCTTCTTGTTCTGAAGGGACAGCATCTCATTATCTGAAAGCAGAAGGACATCAAGATTAAAAACACTGAGCAGGACGCCGGTCTGAAAGTCTGAAGACTGAAAGCCGTGAATGTCGTCGCGGTCTCTGCAGCAGGACGCCCGGCAGAGCGAGCGCCTCTCAGCGAGACGGGACGTCATTGTAGCAAAGCTCAAATTGAGACAGATCATCGTCTTTACAGACTACTGCCACAGAGTGTAGCTTGCAGCTGTTTGCTTCATTTTACATCAGCAACACAGAAGCTTTGTTCACTCAGTATTAAGACCAAAGAACAACAAACGAGGTGATAAAATCTCTGCAGAAATGCATCTCCCCGTGTCATGGAGTAGAAAACCTGACAAAAAATGAAGTATGGTGATGCCACCAGCTCACTTGTGGTCCTGCAGGTTCCTGGTCCGTACAGTCTGGACTGGATGAACTCCTCGGCCACCTGCTGTTGGAAGGACGCCAGCGTTCGCTCCTTCACTGTGGTCACTGTGTACTTCCCCTTCAGACTGACGAACAACACGAGTACAATAAAAGGAAAGAAGAATGCGCGTTTGATCAGCTTCACTTTAGTGAATAATGATTGTCTCACATATACCAGGATCAGTTTGAGACTTCTTCAGTAGCACCAGCGTGCACTTTCATTGGATCCAAACGGCTGAGAATTAAAAACAAGTCTCTGCACACAGAGTCAAACTAATATCCTAAATTTAAAGTGTCCAATGAGGTGAGAACAATGGAAATATCACATTTCTGTATCATTATTTTATTGAGAGGGTTTCAGCATCTTCACTTCCTCTCTGAAATGTCGCTGAGTGGATTCTGATCAGTGGGTCCAGCAGTCAGTGAAGTGCTTGGTAACAACAGATTTTGTCTAATCGTGGTGGGTGAGGAGCTGAATCAAAGTTTGTCTACCAATATTTTATCTGCAGAGATGTTCCCAAAACAATCAGTGGGTCTCTCCTGCTAATGAACTCCACCATCATGAACCATCGCTGGAGGAGAAACTCACGAGGACAGGCTGGAGCAAATTAGACTGAAAAATATTAGTTTGAGACACTTCCTGTCTTCAAATACTTAATTTTCTCTTGTTTCTATTGGTGCCTGGTAATGTGTAACAACAACAAGGTGTTTGCTG